TCCTAGGGAAACCCAGCTGTCAAATCGCGCTTTTTCAGGCGTCGATTCAGAAGATAATCGCATCATTACTGTGGATTCTTTCTCTCTCCTGACGATGGTATATAATGTTTTCTCACACCTCTTGAACTACTTTACCAATTCTCATCTCTCTCAACAACACCCCGACGAATTTGTACTGTTCATCTTCTTCTTCACACCTGTAACAATGGCTGAATCTTCATCTGTTTATGAACAAACTGCCCAGTCCTCTCTTCTCACCATTAAACCAAATCAAAACCTCATCATTGAACTCTCACCTTTCCAGTATGATCCCTACATGCTGCAAGTGGTCGAATGCCTCAAATATTCACCACTCATCATCGCCCTAACCCAGGGGAGTATGTTCCAATGTCACTACTTTCTCAAGTCTACTCAACTGCTGTCTACGATAAAGCAAAGGAGCGTATTTTCTTTGAAATCGTCAATCAAAAGACGTCGATTTCAAAAGTTAGGTTTTGTTTGTTTCTAGGTCTTGTTGTCGACGACTCCATGATCAATCCTGATTCCATTACCACCACTCAACTCTTCACAATGTTCTATGACATGGGATACACTGAGATTCTTACCACTGTCACCAAGTTCAAGAAATCATGTCTTCCTCCTCAGTGGAACAATTTATTTACTCTCCTCTCCAAGGGTTTATCGGAGAGGGTTGCAGGTTCTGATGGAGCGAGCAGGGCGTTCATGACCCTTCTTTATGGTCTGTACCATGGTGTTAACTTGGACTTTGGATCAATCATATGGTCTAAGCTAGTTCAGAGTATAAGCTCTGCTTCACGCTACTCTGAAATTTCTTGTGCTAGGTTTTGGACTCTCGTTACTCAATGGGCGATGGACAAGTTTCATGTTCCTACAATGGCAGACTCACTGATGACATCTATTGCTACTTTCCACACGACAAGGATACTTGTCTCAGATCCATCGAAGTTTATATTTATTGGTTCGGTTCCGGAGTCTATGTACAAGTGTGTTTCCAGTGAAAGCAAGCTGATAACTGAGTACAAGAAGCTACCCCCTACAGGACCAAGGCAGCTTACTCCAGAAATGCAAAGCTCCATAGACGTAGCAGACAAACCAGCGAAAACAGGGAAAAAGCCTGAAAGAAAAGGGGAGAAGGAAGGTCAATCCTCAAAAGTATCTACTCCTAAGAAGCGAAAGTCTGATCAAGCAGCTCCTACTGCTCCAAAGAAACGAAAAATCAAGAAGCAATCACGCAAGCTGAAGTCTCCTTCCCCATCTTCATGTGACTTTGACTATGTTCCCTCTGACACACAGCACGAACCTGAGTCTAGTGAAGATGATGTTTCTCAACATGATAGCCCACCTCGAGGTAATTCGCCTCCACCCTCACCAACTAATGAAGGTAACCGAAACTCACCTCCTCATTCTCCTACTCACTTGGTTCCTATTACTATTGCTCATTTCCCTCCTCCCATCTCTTCTTCAACTGCAAACTCAACTCCAATTCCAACACCTTTATTCACCGAAGTTACTACCACTACTACCCTATCCAACCGAACCTAATGTTCATGTCATCGTATCTATTACGGGGGCATCTACTTTCAGTTCTGATCCCCCAATTACCTCAAAGCCTTTATCTCCACCTCCCTCACCCGAATCTAATACCGTTCTTGATGGTGCTGATATGGAGTTTGACTCAGTCTATTTTAGTCCATATCGAGTACAGAGCGATGATGATGATGACGCTCCTGTCACGAAGAGGCATTTTTAAAGGAATATGCTAAGCTTGATAACTTGATTTCTTCTTCCTCTTCTGCCTCAAGCACGGCGTACTCTGAAGCTGCAGTCAAGGCTTTGTTCGACACTTTTGTCAAAGAGCATGGCTCGTCCATCTCTAAGGCTGTCAAAGCCATTGAAGCTTCCACTTCCCATTGTCAAAAAGCTTCTACTGCAGTTGACGAATCAACAAAAGATTGCAAGCAGGCGACCGCAAAAGTCGAAAAACTAGTTAATGATGCTCAAGTCTTTCTTGACTCTCTTCAGGCTGCTGCTCAAAAGAACGCTCAAACGGTGAATGCCTCTGTTGATAATCTTACTAGTTCACTTCAGGCTGAAAAGAAACATTTTGAAGAATTACGCAAAGCGATCCAGACTGCCAACACCGAGCTTCAAACATCAGTTGATGCTCGTCTCACTCAACTGGAAGCCGAACTAGCTGTCGAGAGCAAGATCATGGATGAACTTAATAAACGAACTTCTCAGCTTAAAATTCAGAATCTTAAGCTCAAAACGGCGACCAAGGAGATTGAATAGATTAAGTCTGAAAGAGTCGTAGTCAAAAGCTCGGTTGGTGATGTGCATTCTATTTTACTCAATCTTCTTGAAGCACATGATTCGGTCCTTACTATTTATGTTCGACGCCACTTGGCTGAGAAACTGCGACCTGCTCTGGACATTCTTAGCCGGATTAAGGGTGTTCCGGAGTCAGTTGTGCCTCTGAAACAAGGGGAGAAGCGTCTATGAAGAAACAACCACAACAACCTCCACAAGGCAAACCAGTCTTCTAACCGAAAGTCACTACTGAACCGAAGGGTAATGAAGCTTTGGTTAGTATGAAGGACAAACAAAATAATCAAATTGGTGAAGATGATGATGAAGAAGATGAGTCTGAAACCGATCAACAACCTTCCAAAACTGTTAATCTCAAACTCAAGCCTGATAATCGAGAGATTGAGGCAAAAGTTCGTAAACCGAAGGAAGGTCTTGACAGGGAGAGGAAAGCGAACGAAGTGTTTCTAAGAAATCCTGTTCCCCTTAGTGGACTCTAGAAAAGCTTTAAAGGGAGGTGATTGATGCTCCGAGCACACACTGGCTCGAGCCGGTCCTTTCATTCGCTCTTGAGAATTCCAAGGATTCTCAATTTGATATGTCAATCACCCGAAAGGCATTCATCTTTCACTGTTTTGAGTCAACAGTTGCCATCCCCTCTCCAGACCCGAAGGTTGTTCGAGACCTACTTGAGTACTATCTTGAGTATGCTCAACCTCAATACCTGACTTGGAGTAATCAGAAAATCACAACAGTCAAGGTGTTGAAACCCACTTTAGCAGGAAGTTTATCAATATTAAGTTCAAAGTGACCAGAGGCTCAGACAGTTCGGTTCATATGATCTCCCTGGCTGATTTGCCAAATTTGAATCCTCATGATTGGATTCTCCTGAACAACATCATGCTGACCAATCAAAAGGAGTATGAGGCTATTATAGATCACATCAAGCGAATGCTGGTGTGGTATATTCTTGAAGTCACAAAGATGGATCAGGAAATCGCCTCTGCCATAAGGAAGAAGCCTTCTATGAGGCCAATTGGAAAAGGCAAGCGACATGAATTTGATGATAAAGGGGAAAATCGACCCACAGTTTCACACAGTCATGTTCATCAGGGGCGAATGTCAAAAATGCCTGTTTTCTCTTGTTGACAAACACCTGTTCTCCACCGCCTGCTTGGATCATATTCTCGATATCATACACGGGTGCAATCAGAACAGCGAAGCCGATAAAAAGATGTTTTCAGATATGCTTCGATGGTACATTCATTTTCGTCAAACTATTGTTGCCATCATCCCCAAGCTGTTCAAGACTGTGAGGAAAACTACAGTTACTCAACCGAAGTGATCTCTTGCCTCAATTGGCGCAAAGGGGGAGATTATTGAGTATATGGGTTGCGCCTTTGGGCTTAGCTAGTTCGATCCATTAGCATTCACGGTTTGGGCCTGTCCAACCGTGTGTTTGTTATTAGGGTTTAGTATTTATGGTGCATGCATGCATCACGTTTTAACGCTGCTGAATATTTCTTTTGACAAGCATTGTAACCCTAGCACACCTCTACAATAGCAATTCATATTGAGTTTTTCTGAGGTGGAGCATATTAATCATTCGACACTCGTTTGATTCATATTGGTGTTCTTCGTTTTCTGTTACCTATTATTATTGTGTTGATATCTGTTTGAATCTATCGATCTAAGAGAACTTTATTCTCATCAGTTAGGTGCTAGGAAGTATGCTAGTTGTATATGTGGTATGTTTGTATGAAAGACGACGGGAGAGCCCATGACACTTGGATGTAAGACCATGAGGAGAGCCCATGGCTTTCCTACTAAAGACCATGGAAGAGCCCATGGCAACCGGATGTAAGACCATGTGGAGAGCTCATGGCTTTCCTATTAAAGACTGTGGGAGAGCCCATGACACTTAGGTGTAAGACCATGTGGGGAGCCCATGACATCCTGGAGTAAGAGCCTGGGGACGAGCCCATGGCATCCCTATATGTTGTATGCATGGCTTATGTGATATATGTGGTTTTTATAGCTAATATGATATGTGATATGTGGATTGTGTGTGGGGTATACTCTGGGAACTCACTAAGCATTAGCTTCCAGTTTGTGGATTTGTTTCAGGTACATCTGAGCCCAAGGGCAAGGGCAAGGCTTGATGGCGCGACGTGCACTCTCTCTCAAGCGTTATTATGGGACACTCTGATGTTTTGAAATAAAATTGTTGTTATGAATTTGAAAACAATTGTATTTGGGATTTTATGATTTGTAGAAAGTATTTTGGTTAATTAAAAATGAAAAAAAAATTCTTTTGAAAATTTGGGTCGTTACAGTACAACCAACCAATGTTTGAGTGAGAAATGTTTGAGCGGCTTAGTGAACCCATATGTTCACCTTTCTTACCCTAGCTTTCTTAACCTGCTCGTTGGCGGACATGTTACCTTGAAGGTACTCCATCCAATTTTTAAGCCCACAACATCCACCCTTAGTCCTTCTACAATGCATAACATGAAGCCTTTTATGGTCTAGGTGACCACGAACCACTATAGTGAACACCATCCAGGTATTTAGTGGTGGCTAGTGTGACACCGTCACCTGCCACCATCTCACATCCTTGTCTAAAACCCTAAAAAGCCACCTGAATCTCCGTCTCCACCACCATCAACAGCTTAATTGTTCACAAACGCCTCACCTTCTTTGGAATTGTCACGTTGTTGTGATTGCCGCCTAGCCGGAGAAGGTGACCTCTTCATCAGATCTACACCATCGATGTCTTCGTCGCCATTGCCTTCATCTTCGTGACTCTCTCTTTTCCTGAAAACCTTCTTCATCTTAGATTTACACCATCTCAGATCTACACATTCTTCGACACTATTTATTCGCCTGAAAGCCTTCATCTTCATCACCATCTGTTCGTTGGAGCTTGTAGATCTCGAAGGGGCGGGTCGATGGACTCGCAAATCGAGAGATGAAGGTGGTAGTTCGTCAAAGTTCAAATATCTGGAGGACGATTTGCACCATTTTATTCTTAGAGGTGAGTTGCTTTGAACCTTCATCGTCTCTGGGTTGGAACGTCGCCACCTTCATCGTCTCTAGGTTCTTGTATGAGGGTTCTTTAACATCGTTGCCTAGGGTTTTGAATGCCACCTAGGGTTTTAGGTTTGGTTTGGTTTGGTTAACTGTCAGTAGATGGTCGTTTCTGGTGGTAGTCGATTGGCGATTGTTCATGAGGTATTAGTGGTGATAGGTGGAGGCACTTGAGGTGGCTTGTGGCAAGAGGTGGATGGTGGCTGGTGGTGGGAGAGAAATAAGAGTGACAGGTGGTGGTTTCTGGTGGTTAACGATGGTGATAAGTGGTGGTTGCCGGAGTTGAGAAAGAAGATGAGAAGATATATAATAGTGGTGGTGGTGTTTAGATTTAATTAAATATTTTTTAATAGATTACTAATTAATTAATAATTAATAAAAAAATCAAAAAAGAAATAAATAAGTGCAAAATGGTATTTTTATGTACGGAGGAACTAAGCGGGCAAGAAAAAGCAAATTGAAAGACAGTCCGAATTAATTTTATGCACGAGAGATGACCAGTGAAATTTACCAACAATAAAACTACGGTACCGTTGGCCTAAAATCAAGGTTCATAACCTATGCGGCAATATCATCTTTTTATTA